CAACGAAATCTGCAGATAGTATTCAACGTCCCTGCCATGAAATCAGGCTTTTAGTGGAACCTTGGTAAACCTTGCCCACCAAATCTGCAAATGCTATTCAAAAGTCTTGCGACGAAATCTGACTGTAAGCGGAACCTTGCCTGTTGAACATTAAAGCTGCTGTTATTCTAGACAAAAAAGCCAATCAGCCAGGAACCAACAACTTAGTATGACACACAGGAAGATTTGAGCGGAAACTTGACTTTTAAAAACTAAAGCTGCTGCTGTTGTAAAAAGAGGCCAGAAAGCCAGGAAGAGACAGGAAACGTGATTTAATATAATGCATTACAGAATTGACAAAATGTATGAAATAGAATGAAATTACTCCAATAATCAGAAAAGAAAAAACCATCAAACATTTAATCACTCACGTTAGTTCAGAATAATGTAGTACATACCTGAAAGCGTTAGCCGTGTCTGCTCATGGGGGAGGCGCGTCCCCCTCCCCCCAACCCGCCCCTGTGCCACAAGATTCCTGCCACGAATTTCGACTCTGAGCGGAAACTGCCTGTTAGCCAGGAGGCCAGGCAGGAGGAAAGAGATTAGTATACAGGCCGACGCCCAGCCCAAAGAGGGTTCGTGGTAGAATTATTATTTTTTGATTAAGTAATTAGTTTTTTATTGATCCCCTTGAATAATTTTTTATTGATGCGATAAATAGTTTTTTTTGATACTTCACCCGCCTGTAGGTCTGTGGCGTTCTAGCAAAGATACCAAACCAGCACTTCAAAAATAGGCAGATTGTATCTTTCACAGGTTGTTTTCCAACAGTACTTTAAAAGTACTATAAAATCGATTTGATGTTGGAAGATTCAGAGCTGAATTCTTGGAATTTCCGTTACACTCCCTGAAATCGTCATTCTGTTTGGTTTGCTGGAAGATGATCCTCCTTTCGGGGCCATCCACATACCTCATCGATCCAGCTTTTTCCAACCATTCCGTTGTTTGTTAGGTGTCCCTCCATGCAGTGGGGGAACACGCAGATGCCGGCAAGATGGTTTTGCCAAGAGCTCTGAGTTGTTCATCCTGATGTCATCGTTGCTTCTTTTGTGCGTCCCAAATTGGAAGTGAGAAAAGACTGTCAGTGAGGATAGTGACCTTCTTCGTCTCGGGCAGCATGGCCCTCGACTCAGGTTGTGAACGCCAAAACGCCCCAATATGGCTGTGGGTCATAGCACCGGCGGGTTGACCACCAAACATGCATGGACTATTACTGTAAGGAGGTCAACCTAACATGATTTGGGGATATGGGTCTTGACCCACAGCCATATGTTTCTTGTTTGGCATGACTTCCATCGATCTTTGGTACTTCGGCTTGCGCCACAGATCTCGGGGTGCATGATCAAGAAGAGCGCGGCGGGGAAACTCAAAGGATTTCGGATTGCGTGTTGTCACAAAACTACTCCAGAGAGATATCAAAGCAACATGGATCAGTGCCAGCGCTCAAACTTGTTGGTGGTATGGTCAGGGGTTGGATACTTGTGCAGGCACACCCACATTGCATTGATTTGAGGTGAAAATGGCATACATGGGCTATGGACTAGCCATGACCAGCTCATCACTGCTCTTGGTGTGAAACTTAGTTCTCGCATGAAATTAGGAGATACATCCAGACACTCCATGTATGGAATATATTGCATATATTTATATACCTGCATTGACCCCTGAAACCACCCCTAATGTAGGCAGAGCAGACAGAGTTCTCCGAAGGACACTTCCCTGAGGAAGCTTTTTCCCCCTGATGAGAAGACAACACAACTTCCCGTGCGCCACCCGTGAGCGGAAGTTGCAATTGGTTTGGCCGAAATTGAAGACTCACGTTCTTCACACTTCTTGCAGATGCTCATAAAAGGAAACTGCTCCAATTCGATCGAACTCAAAGGTCAGGAGAGATGTTGAAGTCGTATCCAGACATTCCTGAAAATCACAAACCTTAGCAGTATGTGTCAATGTGCCTCTTAAAATGAGGAGGGGCTGGTACCTGTTGTTTGTTGGTCAAAATTGCAGATCGCCAGCCCATTCGTGACCCCACTCTTCTGAAACTACTGAATCGGCTTGGCCGGGAACCATGGTCAAACCGGCTTTGTTCACATTTCATCAATACTAGGGTGGAAAGTCGCGGGGTACGGCGCTTCTGTACGGCGAGTCACGCTTTCCTTCCGCGCCGGCGTTCCGTGCGAATTCCACGGCGACAGCTCAGCCGATCTCAGGTGCTCTCGCTGATTTTATTCAATGCCTCCAAAGATGTGGCGGTTTACCTACTTTGTGTCGAGCCTCGACGAAAGCCAAAGCCAAAGCCGCAGAGGAGTTTGCACTAAGATATTGGCGGAGACGGGAGTGGCAGTGGGAGCAGAGTGGTCCACCCGTTGACAGGTTTGAGGAAGATTGACCTTTCTGTGTTCTTTTCCCCACCTGCCAGGTGAGGGTTGCAAGCTTTTATCAGAGCTCTTCTCCTCCTTCCACTCCTTCCCCTCCGCCGCCTCGCCAGCAAGTTACAGTGCCAGATCGCAGTGGGCAGTACCGGACCTCAACCGCAGATCGCAGTGGGCAGTCTCGGGCCTCACCGCAAGCGCCAGACTGCAGTGGGCACTGCCGGACCTCAACGGCGGCAAGCGCGAGATCGCAGTGGGCGCTACCGGACGAAAAAATTGCCCTTGCATGGTGGATATGCCTTGAAGTGCCACGGTGGGGATCTTTCGAGGTAAAGTAAGTTTTCCGTGAGTGTGTAGATTACAACTTTGGCTCAACTTGTCACTGTAGCTGTGGGCTGGAACTGAGGGTATTTCTTGTGAGACTAGCATACCTACGTACAACCGGGGGCACTGCGTGGCCTGAGGCGTGTGGACTCCAAAACGGCATCATGTCCTCCTACACGGGCTCGGTCATTCGCACGACGCATATGACGGGCATCGTTACCGATATAGGGCTCATCGTTGGGAGGCCAGCATGGGGTGAAAGGTGTTTTGCTTGCCAAGTTCAACGAATGAAATTGCATGTTCGCTTGAGCTTCTATAGGCTTTTCACCTACACCCCCTTGGATGGTTGGTGGTAGCTGTGCTTTCATGAGATTTGCATAGATTTCTGCCCCTTTGCGTTCTGCTCCGCTGTCCCCAGGCATATCTCAGGCTTCGTGAAGCGCAGATGCTGCCGTAGAATCCATTTTGCAGATGAGGAGCCAGGCGAAGTCAGGACGGGAGAGAATTCGACCGGGAGAGAAACGTGCCTTGCAGCTGCAAAAACCATAAGAACCAACCTAATAGCATTAATAGCGATGGCCTCCAAGAAACATAAGGAACCTGAAAAGGGATGGTCCAACCACACCGCAGACCCTTCTGTTTTTTTCTGCGCTCAAGGGGACCTGGCGGTCCATCTTGACACCGCCAAGCCGGAACAAACCGCCAGATTTGTTCGGTTTTGGCCGTCCGTCGCCAGGAAACTGGTGCTTCTCCTGCTGCTGCTCTTGAGTTTCCTGATAGGACCGGTGTAACACTCACGGACCTTGATGTCGTAGATGGATACGGCTTGGTCCGGTTACGTGGGATGAAACAAGTTTTTTGGGATTGGGCGAAGTCCAGCCCAGAAGTGGGCACTGAAAGACCAGCTTTAACCCCAATGTGAACATGTCACAGTTGGTCGCACACAGATCACGAGAATAGCCTTGTAGATTTAGCCACCTGAGGATCATGAACAGCCGTGCTGCGCGTTTTATCCTATTTTGATTCCAATAGTTGGTTAAGTCATACAGTTGTACTGCACCTTCTTTGAACATGGAGACTTGTCTAACTACTCATGATGTGCCAACAACAATTCATGTGCTATCAACATAAACATTACAACACCAAAGCAAACGAGTCGCCAAGTACGATTTTTTGAAAGAATACAGATGGTGTGCGAACGAGAATGCCCCACTATAGTCACTACACTTCTCGCTTCCCAGTTTGCCAGCAGGAGTTGCTGCTGGCAGCGGACTGGCTCAAGCACTCCACGAGATTAGTTTGTTGGTGCCAACCTGAGTTGAAGCGACCAAACGTATATTGTGAGTCAATTTCCAGTGAAACAAGGATTGTTGAACTGAAGTTGTTTGTTTGTCAAAGTTTGTCAAGGGAAAACACATGTTGCGGTTGGTCCCCACCCTGCAACAGAGTCATTCGTGCATAACAGTGCAGACAGCTTTTTGAGCTCTCATTAACAAGTGTCGTCCACTGGTGGAGCGGGTGGCAGGGACGGGCAGGGCTCTAGGCACATGCTGCCGAAGTATATATATATATATTCATATAAATGCATGATAGTATATATATATATTATATAGTAAGGATCCACACCGTTTTTGCCTCCTCACCCATGTGATTGTGGATTGTCGATTGAACAATTGAAATGGCAGGTGCCTGCGATTATCGCTTTTTTGGCTGGTAGTGGCTACATGCTGTGGACATACCTGCGGGACGATATCCAGGAGCCATGAAATGCCATGAGATATCAGGTACATCATGAAACGTGTTGAAGCTTCAAGAGTTTCTCGCTCTACAGGCTATAATTCTGCTGCCAAGGTTTTGCAATTTGGAAATATTTTTAAGCATCCTACTAAATCCAAAACATGTCCAAGGTGGATATCAAACATGTTTCCTGCCATGCACATGATACGTCTCTTTTCTTCGTTGTTGCCTCTACAAGCACCTGACCATGATGTCCCAGGAGGAAGTGAAGCTCTTGCGGTCTCTCGGCGCAAGACCGATTCGCTCGGTGTTTGCCGAATTCAACGCAACACAGCTTGCCGAGTGCGGGGTTCGGGTTGAGGGAATTACTATAGTAACAAGGGCATTGCTACTAGTAGCTAGAAGCTACTAGTAACAAGGGCATTGCTACTCAGTGTTTGCCGAGTTTATGGAAGAGACCAATGATCCGAAAAGAAGCCCTTGCTACTAGTAGTTTCTTGCTAGTAGTAGTATGCCCTTGTGGCGAATAGCTTCTTGGTTTTTTCCGGATGGGGAATCAATCATCTTCCCGGTTCCTGAAGCCAAATCCAGGGTGAGGATGGGTGAGCCGGAAATGATGTGAACGTGGGATCGATCCTGAACTCGATGGTAGAAGTGGGACCCACACATGAGTGGGATATGGGGTGGGGTCGATCAGCAGGTAGACATTACTTTCTCTCTTGGGGTCTAGGGTGTTTACATAATATGCATGTTTGAGCATGTTTTAGGTAACTGCGCCCCTAAGAGGCCGGGTGTTTGTGCAGGTTTTTAGCTTTCGTGGCTTCGACGTCACTTGTACTTGCAAACATACTTGATGCTATGCCATGGATGGGGTGTGTGGTGAGGTTCTATTGACGTCACTTGTACTTGCAAACATGTTTGATGCTACGCTTCGCTTCGCTTCGCTTGCAAGCGTAAAAAGAGTCATTCGAAGCTTGTAGACCGGAAAACTGCTGTATGCAAAAGTGTTCAAAACTGTAGCGACGCGTCTAAAAGCGGACATTTCGAGCAACCCATAGCAACCCTTACAGCACTTGAGCCTCCACACAAACAACCCTCTCCGTCCAAAGAAAAGATACACTTGCAAGCAAACGACACGTTCAAAAACATCAAAAACGCACGGCCCTAGGGGCGCAGTTACCATGTTTTACTGCATGTTGCTTGCAGGATCTCCTCATTAACGCCGGTCCTTTAGGTTGTCTTCCAACAGGACCGACAACAGAAAAGCAATAATCCTTGATTCTCGATGTGCGGATAACATACTCATACTCATACAGTATACACATACTAATTTTTCCTGGTATCAAATTTGGATTCCCTTCGATCACACATTCACCTCGCCCAGGGAAGCCATGGAGGCGCCCACCTCGCCCACCTCGCCGACGGCGGAGCCACTGAAGGCGGGGTGAGAGCACCGGCGCCCATGGGAGACAGTCATTGAGAGGCTGCGACAGTGACAGAAGCGACATTGAGACCGGTATCATGCCGCTTCTTGGAGCTTTGAGACAACTTTTGGTCATCCAACCACAAGATACCCTCGATCATCCTCTAGGTTAGGGGTTCGATTGTTGCATCCCGGTTGATCCAGAAGCTTTGAATTGTATGAATTGTTGAGAAGATAATGGACTTGAAGACGGACAAATAATACAATTTGTCTTTGAGGTAGGGGAGAAGTGGCACCAGGGCTCACATATCATGTTTGTTAGCAACCAGCACGCAACGGCAGTTTTTCTTTTATGGAATCCGTTCACCGTTGTAGATTGATAACGATTTTGGTGGACAGATTTTGAGCTGACCAATTGAAGATTCTCAGATCGGCTGGAACGGCATTGGCATGCATTGGCAGGCTAAACAAGATGGGCCTGACAGTCCACAAGCTGAGGGAAAGGAGTGCCAACCGTTGCTTGGAATGATTGATCCCTAGTGGGGTACAGCACAGCCAAACTTGCCCCATGGTGCTGTCCCTGTGTTCCCAAAGGTTCCAGGAAGAGTACAGTCCCAAATATGTACTCTCCGGCAGATTAACATGGATCCCCCAAAACCACCAGGTTGTGGAGGATTTTTTTCTTTGTCTCTTCCATGGGTGAATTCGGTCCATGTTAGGCTTTGGGGGATACTAAAAATGTCAATAGGGATGGGGTCCCAGTATAGTCGCTATACAGGTACATGCCATATACTTTTGGCTCAAGTGCCCAACCAGGTAAAAAGGAGCTTTAGCGCGCGAGCTTCATGTTGAACTAAGGGCTAGAACGGGGCCAGGGCACACCTTTCCATCCGTTCGCAGGTTATCAGCCGTATCCAGACTCCTTTGAGCTGGGTACGAGCTGCGGCCTTATACAACACCATCTAGACGCACACGCATCGGATAGATCAGTTACCCTCAGTCACTGAAGATGGACCAATCCGACGCCAGCACTGCATCTTTTGGGGCAGCTGCTGCGGCCGCAGATCGGATGAGCGCATCCCACAACTCTAGTCCGGGTACGATCGAAGCGGAGACTCTGACAGTGGTGAGAGAAGTTGCGACAGGTAGAACACGAAGTCGTTCCCCGTCAGCGCAATCGACACCACCGGGGGGGACACCGAGATCAGACCGTAGCCCTAGGGAGACAAGGAGGAGGACTGACACCGGAGCTGTGAGAGTGTTAGCATTGCAGGATGGGTCAGCTGTACCAGTGCCGTCGGACAGCGAAGCTGGAGATGGGGCAAGGGCAAGCACTGACAACCTACAACTAGCACGGGCCGATGGAGACCTGAATGCGAAGTGTGCGCAACTACTTGCCGAAGTGCATATGTTGAACCACCAAAACGCATGGATGGTCGAATGTGAGCAGAGACAGAACCAGATTATACAACACGAGACCGAAGTCCACGAAGTAGTGATGGCACACCTCGAAGAATGTTATGTCGAAGGATATGGAAATCAACGAAGAATCTCCCAACTTACAGAATCCAGAGACTGTTTGCTCTCAGCAGCACACGATTTGCAATACCAGATTGACACTGATCGTGTGGCAATGCGGGATCGTCTCACCCAGTTAGGGGAGTACGCTGATCGCAACAGCGCAGAGATGGTTAGTCAAGTTGTGAACATCGGCACGGAAGAGATCCAGGCTATATCGGCGGAAAGAGATCGAGCCGTAACCGAGGTCATGACTACAATCGCAGATGCTGAGAACGTCAAGGATCTGTGTAGACAGGAGTTAGTCGGAATACAAAGGCAGAGTGCCAGGAACAAACACGAATATGCTGAAGAGATGAAGATGAAGGAAGCAATGTATGCAAGCAAGATCAAATGGTTATCAGAAGAGAATGAGGAGCTCAACAACCGATCTAATAATCAGGACAATTTCATCATGACCATCAGGGAGCAATTGAAGAAGGCGAACGAGGAGTTGACACAGGCGAGGATTCAAGGATCCGATCGATCGTCTCAACCATCCAACGCCGAACTCAAGAAAGCCGAAGTCAAGGTGAACATGTTGGAAGAAGACATTCTACGTAAAGAGAGGATGCTGAAACGTCTTCAGGAAGAATTGATCGAATCAAGCGCAAGTGAAGCACAATTGAAGGTCGCACTGAAGTTGAAACCACCAGACATGGGATCAGAACCCAACGTGGAGAACGGGATGATGACCAAACTTAGAGCGGAACTTGGAAGTACCGAAAAGTCATTAAGGTCCGAGGAGAAAGAGGCAATGGAGTACTACGAAGGTATGATGCAGAACCAACAGGACATGATGGAATTCGAAGCGCATGCGGCACGGCTCAGAGATGAGAGGAATAAGTACCGGAGGAGGTACGAAGAGGAGCGCTTGAATGCAGAGAATGCAGCCGCAACCGAATATGGTGCCGCCTCATCCTCTAGCTCGGGTGGCTCCAAGATATCTCGGAAGGAACACGAGAAGATCAACATCCCTGCATGGCCCAAGATACACGACCTGGAGGTTTGGAAATCCCAGGTTGTAGCGGCAGTCGTGACGGCATCGGGCGACGAAAGACAAGAAGACTGGATCCAGTGGCTCTCGGATGCCTTCAGATCACCATATGACCCCTTTCTACTCGAGACATCAGGCGAAGCAAGATTCGCTAGCATAGACGCTAAGCTAGGTATCACCCTACATACGATCATCCACGCAGCAGGTGAGAGATCTCATGACGTACAACTGAAAGTGAGGCAGATGATGCAGAGACGTGCGAGAGGCACAACTCCTGGGATGGTCAAGGGACGAGAAATGTTAGCGTTGATCGTAGACAGTTTCCGGAGTGCCGACAACGTCGATGTGATGTATGCATCCAAGCACTTATTCGATCTAAAGTTCCCTGGGGATAACCAACTATCCAGATTCCTCGGACAGTGGGATGAGATCTTATCAGGTATGGATGCGGATGACATGCTTCCTGACAAAGCACTCCGCAACCTGCTTTGGGATAAGATTAAGGACTCCAAGGTTATGGCGTTAGACTTGTCCGTGTACGACAACATGTTGGATAAGGATCCGGATAAGACCTACCAGAAGTTACGAGAGATCATGGCGAAGTGGATACGGAAATCAATCGAGACCACAAACAAGAAAGAAAGGGAAAAAGCTTTTGGGAACCTCGTGAAAGCCACACCAGCGGCGGAGAAGAAGGACCCTAAAGCGAAACCCAAGAATACCAAGGCCGATCCACCGAAGCATGACGCCGCTCCAGTACTTCCTCAGGCTAATCCGAAGGACCACAACAAGAAGGACAAGAAGCAGGATCGTGGAAGATCAACCACGAAGAGCCCAAAGGGGGATCGTGGCAGGTCAGCGACTCCAGCAGATACGTCCAAGATAGGATGCGCTTTCCATTTCCATGGGAAAAACGGATGTTCTAGAGGAGACAAGTGCAAGTTTAGTCACCAAGAGAAGCACAAAAGTTCTGCTAAGAAACCAGAAAGCCTCAAGGGTGACAGATCAAAGAGTCCTGGTGGCAGGAGCAATAGCCCTAAGCCAATGAAGGATCAGGTCTGTTGGAATTGGCAGAAAGGATCGTGCAAATTCGGGGACAAATGTCGACGTCAGCATCACGCTGCCCCTGCTACAAAACAAGAGGCTAAAGGCAAAGCCAAGCCCAAACCGGCTGCGCCAGCCTTCATGCTTTGCGGAGACATCGAGAGTGATGACGAGGACGTACGACCCGCACTTCCCAACGTACAACAAGGTGAGTTGGCACTTCGCTTCAAAATCAGATTCGATGACCAGGCGAATGTGACCACGTTCACCTGCGATCCTGGTAATGAGCTAAACACCCGTCCCCTCAGGAAGAAGAAGAATGAGGTGCGGAAGGTGGATACCGAGTTCATTTCGTCGTTGAGAGCCCTCAGAGTGAGCAATATTGCTGCACGAGTAGCACATGCCAAAGGTAAGATGATGGAGCTATTTTCTGCTGAACACGTTGCCAAGGCATGGATACAAATCACTCAAGATGAAGGAATCGAGGTGAACGTCGACCTGTCTGACTTCAACACCAGCGAGGTAGTAAGAAAGGATTCTGTCAACTACACGATACCAGGAGACACGATGTTCATGGCTGTGGAGAGGTATGATGGACCACCGATACGCTTCATCATGGACACGGGATGTGGACACGACTTGATCTCAAGAGAGAAAGTCAATGCCATGGGCCTTACCACCAAGGAAGGACCCAAATCCGTGAGCTTCATGACAGCGAATGGTGTAACTAGTACATCAGAGATGGTGGACATCAATGTGGACGAACTACCCATGATGTCCGAGGCACACGTGTTGGAGAGCACACCATCAGTCTTTTCCATCGGGAAACGGTGCATGGAACAAGGGTACTCATTCGTATGGCCGGCAAATCAATTGCCATACCTCATCGACCAGAACGCGAACAAGATTCCGTTATCGGTGCATGACAACATACCCTACATCAAGGTGAATGATGATGACGGGAGATGTTTACCAAGACCAGACGGCTTGGCTACGATACTTCATCGCATACTGTCGGGTGTGGGGCATGAAGACGAGGCCACAGCAGGTCAGGAGACACAACAAGAGGAACTTCCGCCCAAGAAACCACGGAGACGGAGGAGAAAGAAGAAAGATAACCAGAGAGATCGGAATGGTGGATCTGATATCAATCCAGCTGTTGCAGGCGTCGAAGGAGAACCAGAGGAACACGGTGATGACAGGTATTCTCCTGAAGAGGAATATGACGGGGAAGACCCGAGATTCGATAGTGATCACGATGGTCAATCTGAAGATGCCGGAGGCGACGAGCATGGAGGTGATGCGGATTCTGAACGAGAGGAGAGTGACATTGGTGAAGATGAAGAGGGACTATTGGAAGTTGATGTGGTTGACGGGGAAGCCAGACTATCAAAACCAGGAGTGCTGAAGAACGAGGCGAAATCCATATTGCACTTGATGACGCACCGATACAAGAACCCATACTGCAAGTCATGTGTGAGAGCAAAGATGAAGCACTACAAGACTAGCAAGGGAGCTTTCAAACGGAAATTGAAGGCATTCGGTGACCTTATCACTTTCGATCTCATGAACACTCAGAAGATGGCGAGAGATGGGATCATGCCGGATAAGGATGTATTGGTGATTCGAGATCGGTTCACTGGTGTGATATGGGGCTATTCATTGAAGGCAAGCAATAGTGACGAAGTGGTGCAGGCGATGAAGCACTATATCGGTAAGAGAAAGGTCACCAACGCTTACTCGGATGATGCGCCACAATTTGAAGCAGCACTCAAGGAACTCCGGATTCCACTAGACCAGTCACTTCCAGGACATCCCCAGAACAATTCACTCGCCGAAAGGAACAATCAGTTCATGATGCTTACCACATCGACTTGTCTACTAGAAGCCGGACTACCACCATGTTTTTGGCCATTT